ACAGATAGATAGATAGACAGATAGATAGATAGACAGATAGATAGATAGACAGATAGATAGACAGCAGATAGATAGATAGACGCCAAAAGACATTGCAGTACGCAAAGAAAATAAAACGCGACATGGGCAGCATTGAGCCGACTAATGTACAGAATAATGATTAATATCCCATCACCAAACGAACCAAGCGTTGGGCGGGGCAGGAAGATATTCTACCACAGAGCAACGCCAGGTCCTTAAACTACTTAGGAAAAAGAACGTGTCCAGTCGTACGAGGGGTGACGTCATTGGGGTTGCAGTGCTTGCTATCTTTTACAGTTCAAGAACGAAGATTACCTATGTACCCCTATGATACAGGCGTCACTCCGCGTCAACATCTATTCAATTGTAGTGTTGATTCCGTTTTTTAATAACCATGCAGTTGTATTCCTTCCCCGCAAACTGTATACAAATGTAGCTTGGCCGGAAGGAATACACTAATAAAAGTCACGTATGAAATTTACATCACCTCATCGTAAAGTGAATTACGTTTCGATAATACAGACGTCCGCACTTCATGAGTTTTCAAAGTAGTCCAAGCACACGTTCCCCTTTAGAGGCCAGCGTAGTTGACGTTCCTATAGTAATGTCACGATGCGCAGAGACCTACCCTACTTGTAGAAACACGTCGACCCACCTACTAACGCTAAACGCAAAGCCAAGAAATGGACAATTACTCCCTAACTGCTTCGCATGAAATAGATTTCCAAAAGGCGATGAGTGGGAAATGTTTACCTGCAGTAATGCAACCGATGCAGCGATCGACTGCAAGAGCGCTTATACTATCGATAGCGTGCAGTACAGTACTACCGATAACTTGTACTATCGATAGTTTCAACAAAACATTCAATGCTATCAATGATTCATTTACCGATAGTTTTGCATAACTAGGCAGTATCTCAAGAAGAGACCGGAAGTGCGTACAGGCAAGTAACCCAGTGTAGTGTAAGTGGCATGACATGAGGTATATAGACATGGTCATGTTGGATCAGTAGGCGTTCACTTTTTGGAGTCACTTGTTACATATCAGGATGCGGTAGCAATAGTGACGGTTAAAGGAGCTCTGCAACATTTCTTCAAGTAACTAAGAAGCTTCCTAAAGGAGTTTATTGCTTGATAAATTGACCGTCATTTTTTTTTGGAATCTGTAAAGTGCGTAGAGATTTTTCGTACGCTGTAATTGCTTTCTCTCTTTTCTGTCCAGGAGAAAGAGAAGGAGGTGATAAGGAGAAGGAGGTGCTGTAGGGAAGCAAGGTACGTTACGTGCGTGTCATGATTTCTCTTGTATGTTCTTCAAACTCGTGGCTAACCTTCAGAAAAATCGCGGGAGCGCGAGTGCAAACGTGGCGGTCCCTGCGGCCGGGGCAGTAACCATGCAGCCACGATGCTCAAATGAGCTAATGGCTGTGAATTTGGGTGGGTGCACGGAGTGGTCATGTAGGGTGATAGAGTGGCTGAGTACATGATATCGTTTGTAGAAAGAAGAGGGGAGGGGGCGTTATTTTTAGCTTACTTGAGAACTATAATTACATGTCCTGTGTCATTGTCCCGATCTTGAACGAGATTGCCGGACTCTCCAGTGTGCCTTGAGGAGACTGAATGATCGTCGCTTTACTCAGGAGATCTTCATGGTCTTCAAGCACCTCGGCCCACAAAACTACACGAGCTTTTTTACGGTTCTTCAGGGCATTGTGACTGAGCGACCACCTTTGAAATCTTGCACTGCATGTGCCATGTGTGTGTGTGCGTGCGCGTTGTGCAATGTACATCTCCTCCTCTTTTACTCCCTTATCTCCTCTCCAGACGTGAAGGGTAGGAAACTTCTCTACCTTATTTTAATATCCTTCTCACTATTTCCAGTCCACGAGCAATACAATATTGGGGTCGCATTAGTAGCATATACTACCGATCAGCAGCTTTTTTCATACCGCCCTGAAAAAAAAAATGTCGCAGGGCCCTTTTAGGGTCCCCGAAGCGCAACCGCTGAGCGATCAGTTATACCACGGGCTTATGTAAGTACCACAACCTGATCCTTCTGTCAATGTTTCTCATTATAATATCAATGATCCTAAAACGATGTGCCATTCTCTTTGTACCTTCTTGAAACCCAGGTTCCCGCTTCAGAACTGGCAACCTGGAGACTCTTCTGCCGTGGCGCTGTTGCGCCAACTTCGTCTTCAGCATTTTCAGCAGGCCGGTCACCAGGCTCAACCCGAGCTTCACTGTCTGCAGCGAGCATATAAGTTCACATTAGCTTACGTTGGTTGTAATTTTGTGTACACACGCTTTCTGAACGTTGTAGTTCCGAAATTTTTCGCTAAGATATAAGTTCTATAAGCGTGAAATGAATCTTGAACAGCAGCAAGCCTTCGCGACGGAATAGTGCGCGCCGTTCACTTGTCACATGAACAGGCACGCACTTATGCGCAGACCTGGCGAATAGGATCTGAACACTCGAAATGTAAGCAATGCTCTGTCAATCCTGGGTGTACTACCAAAAGCCAAAGTTACAGCACCAACGTCATTGTACGATACTGACTCGTACTTCAGCTTCGCCGATTCCCCTGGTAGATTTATTGAGTGGTATAATAATTTTAACGTCGCGAAACAACCATATGTATATGAGAGACGCCGTAGTAGAGGGCTCCGCAATGTCGACCACCTGGAGTTCCTTAACGTGCACCCAACTCTGAGCACACAGGTCTACAGCACTTTTCGCTTCCAACAAAAATAGAGCCGCTGCAGCCAGGATTTTATACCGCGACCTGCGGGTCAGCAGCAGAGTACCTTAGTACAAGACCACCATGACGGGACAGTTCCTCTAGTAGAACGAGGCTGCGAAAATTCATAGTCAATGACCACAGATGCAAGCTTTCTTGCGGAACAGATGTCTAGACACGGCGTGTTTTCTGTATAGTCAATTCCAAAACATATACAACAACTCTTATCATCCTGCAAAAATTTTGAAATCGTTCTAGACTACGTTCCTCATTCGTACCTCTAGAACGGCCAGGCCGCCAATCTTCGCCGGCAACGGGAACCACAAGGGTTCTCTGCGAGTGCGACTGCTTAGCCCCGACTTGCTGTCTGCATCAATTATTGGGGAACAATATTAGTCATGGTAAAAGAGGAGTAATAAAAACAAAGGAGAGATAATCAAAGCAATGTACAAATTCTATTCAACTAATGATTATAACCAACGCGTTATCTTTTTGAAAGAACCACCGAGTTCTCAGACCAACACATACGTTAGCTCTCCAGTCATCCCCCCTGCAGTGGCTGTGGTTCACACGTGTTGCTTTATTTTATTTCATTTTATTTTATTTTCACATAGTGCAGCCTGGTTAAAAGAATATCGCACGAGTGGGTACAGAGCAGTAAAAATACGAGAATGAAACTAAGAATAATTAAAAATAAATAGAAATAATGACAGATCAAATACTTACGAGAAATGGTATGGACTTGATTATATAAACATTGCAAAACTAGAAGTAAGGATTTATGTGGGAGATATGAAAATATGAGAAACGCCGCCTTTCAAATAGTGCTCTTACCTGAAATTCTGTACAAACAGTTGCATCTCACCAGTTTCTGTACCATCATGTACGTATAAATTCAGAAAATTGGGGGGGGGGGGGGAGAGTCATGCTGCTGGGACAGTATGTCAGCAAACATCTTTTAGAAGGTGGTTTTTCCCACATAGTATGTATCTACTGAGAGATTTCGTGCCTTAAATAAACACTAAACAGCAAAGCATTTTTCGCGTATTAGTGAAGTACAATTTCACATTCCTGAAAATGTCACTCTTAGCGCAACAGAAAATGCACGAAGAGAAAATGCGGGGGGAGGCGTCGATAAAAATGACGTAAACTGTCTTCTAAAGGTGCCACTGGCCTAGCATACAAAGTTTCGGAATATTTCATTGAGTCGTATGTCACAAAAATGAGAAAAATACACTTTGAAACTTGTGACGTCCCGTGCAAAGATTTCGGTGCAAAATTAAAAAAAATAAAACTTCAATTTTTACTTTCTCCGCTAATAATGAACTGATGAAAGTGAAACTTAAGGCATTAGAGTTATCAGATTGCAGTTTATTAATCTAAACTAAGTTATTGTTTCTCTTCGGTTTCCCTTCAAGGCTTCGAACAACATATCGATACTCGTCTTTCTCATAACTAATATACGTGTATAGCAAGTTCTGAAGCAGATTTTCTATTTTTTTTTGCTGGCGCAGTTGTGTTTCAACACGTGTTGACACCATGCGCAAATCGTTGATTCCAGTCATGTCAGTGAACATGTCGAAATACTTCTTTTTTTAAGTTGGACGAAGGCAATCATGTACTGGCCGCTTTGCTAACGAGAGTTCCCGTTCGCTGGTGGCGAGGTCTGTGCTTGCAGGGTATCTCTGCCACGGAGGCGTCGCCCACAGTCACCCAAGCACAGTCGTCAGGTATACTTTCTTGCCGACAGTGTAAAGGAGATGGCAACAAGAAAACAAAAATTAACTGTGAGATTAGCGTACCGGAAGGCCACTATTATTACGAGGAATGTCATAGTGGGGGATCTTAGGTTAACTTAGACCACTTTTTAACATTACGGATGTGATATATAAAAAGATGTTAGCGCACAAGTAAAGCGCCGGCTACCTTTTAGTCCTTGAGTGAACGTGGGGCACACATACCAAAGGAAACAATAAGAAGCAGTGTGGGAATAATAGAACACCTGAGACTACATATGCAAAAATACACCCATACCCACATATCAAACAACACCAACTTGAATCATTTGTCGTAGATTGATGTACACAAACGCGTTCTTGGATTTCGTCGTTGCCTAAAGGTTGGCATCATGAATGGCCGGTAATCAAACCCGCGTCCTCGACCGAGCCTAGTAGTGCAGTGGGTTTGTTGCTATGCAACAACGGCTGCTATCACAGCGAATATGACTGAACATCTATTCGAAAACTCGATTGTGGCAAACGTGTGCGTCATTTATGGCAACGCTGTGTTTTCTGCATGAAGCATATAGCTAACTGATTATCTGCACTGAAGTACGTTCTCCATGAATTTAAAAAATTGGCAGCCACTATATATACGAAGTGAACTTTGGGGATGCTGCAAAGATCCCTGGATGATCATGAAATGCTTATGAAATATCACGATATTTATAAATATATTACGATGGTGCCAGGAAGCCACCTGGCTGCGCCAACGCATGCCGGTCACGACCGTTGTCGGAGTCTACAGCGCTCGCGCTTTGCTTGCGCAGTGTTGCTGTGCCCAGCGTGTACAATCATTCAACAAGAAAGCATCGCGATCGATTCTGACTATAGTGCACTGGAATTCTGACCGGTACGTTTCAATGGGCACGGTCGTTCGCCGCACACACTTTGGATTTCACAAGGTGACGAACTGACAGACGGACGGACAGATGAATGGATGCGTAGACATATAGTCAGTAGACAGATGAATGCATGAAAGGGCGCATGCATAGACGAACAGATTCATAAATGGACGGACGGATGGATGAACATATGCACGAACGATTAGACGGGCAGAAGAATGGATGTACAGACGCAGACACGGATGGATCAACGGATATGCACGTATGAACGGATGAATGGAGGGGCAGACAGAGAAATGTACGGATGGAATATAGTCTATTTTAAACCTACACGCGCGCGCTAAGAACGCTCCATGTATGCTATATGTAACACTGGTGTTTGTCCGGCGGCAAGCTACAACGTTGGCATCGGCGAACATTGTGTGAGCTGAAACGGCTTTTCTCCTCAAAAGCCTCGCTGAAAGTTACCTAGGCGAAGAAAGCCATCCGTCTACAATGGCTGCATCATGATTAATTGATATGTGGGGTTTAACGTCCCAAAACCACTATATGATTATGAGAGACGCCGTAGTGGAGGGCTCCGGAAATTTAGACCACTTGGGGTTCTTTAACGTGCACCCAAATCTGAGCACATGGGCCTACAACATCCGCCTCCATCGAAAATGCAGCCGCCGCAGCCGGGATTTGAACCCGCGACCTGCGGGTCAGCAGCCGAGTACCTTAGCCACTAGACCACCACGGCGGGGCAATGGCTGCATCATCATTAGTCTATAAGGTGGGCCACCTATTGCGTGCATTCGAGCATAACCCATTATACCGCTTATCTGATCTAGAAAACTTGTCGCCTTACAGTTCGAGGAACTTGACTTTGAAGTGTCTTGGGTAACAGAAGTTGGTTCATAACATTTGATGGCTTTAGTGGGTGCCCTTTTATGCTTCATGCGCCATATATAGTGGCACAAAATTTAAGGTAAATCACTTGCGCTTGTACAACTTAAATTATAATACGAGTGCGCTATTCGGGACACTACTACTAGCAAACTAATATCTTCATCAGACCTCGTACAAAACAATTAAGTTCACTTCATCTTATGTAATTACAACAGAACTGGAGGCGTGTCCGCTATGAAAAACAATCTTTCTCTCATGTCTATATCTTATCGTAAAATTGCGTGTCTGGTTTTTTTTTTCCACAAAATCTCCCATCTCCAAATCGCCGAAACAAAGCCATTTCTCAGCCGCTTTACCTATTGCCTCGAATGGACCATCGTTACAAAGTTGGTCTTCAAACGTGTCACACAAAATCCTCCTTTCAGCCATTTATAATTCAATCATCCTCTGAATGAAACCACCTTCCCGAAGCCATCATATCAATTCACGACAGTCACTTGTAAACTAATATTTTCTAAACAGATTCTACTCTCTTTTTTTTTACTTTGTGCAGCAAAAGTGATTGTGGGACAATCTTTTTTTTCTTACGTACATAATTTGGAACCTTATTGCATATGCCATTATTATTTATCACTTGTCCGTCGACGTATCTGTCTCTTATTTTAGCTAAAACTTTATAACAACAAGTATTTTATACTGAAATGTTGAAGTGCTTCGTTTCTTAATTTAATTTTGTATTACTTTTGTAATCGCTCCCCTCATTAATTTTTCTGGACCTGGGAGTTCTAAATAAATAAATAAATAAATAAATAAATAGCATGACATCCTACTTACCACTCGAGGAACTTGTCTGCGAACCAACTTTGTCAAAAGGAACCCCGCAGTCCACTTCCATGAAAGAGGCGCCAGGTGTGCTTGCTGCATCATGCATAGTAGTACATAATTTCAGGTAAAACTTTTGTAGTTCACGAGGCGCTTCTCATATTTATTGCAAGACCCGGATGTTTCTCGTGTAGCTCAAGATATGAACGTCTAAAAAAAAAGCATGGTGACCAAACACGCGGGAAAACAACAGTACATATGCCAGACACCAAACTTAGTGCATCAATCAGTTGAAGACATCAATCAGACAAGCCAGCTAAAGCCACATTTTCCGAGACATCACTATCGTATTCCGAGACAGCTAAGAACTAGCCACCAAGGTTCCCGGATAGTATTAGGTGTTCGAGTTTAACGTCTCGGAAAGCATATATTACTTAAAGTATGCATTAGAGAAGGGCCAGGTTAATTTAGACCACCTCGAGGGTTATAGGACGCACCAAAATTGAAGTGTATGGGCCTCAAGAATTTTCTGCATGCATCAAAAACGTGGCCGCAGTGGCCGGTGGTGAATTTCTCTTAGCAGCAGCAAACACGGGAGTGCAATTCACGGCATTATCGCAAATATCAAGGATGGTTGATTCCTGGGTTAGTTGGTTCATTTCAACGTACGTAACAACGCGTAAAGCTAGAAAAGGTGGCATGAAAAGACGGCCCAGACTTCTCTGTCCGCGCCATCTGTCCGCGCCATCTTTTCTAGTTTTACGTGCTGTTACAAGTTTCGGAAGGGCCAATCTTTCAATCTCTAGATGGCCACCAATTAATGGTAATTTTCTTTTACTTTTCGCTACAAAATATTAGGCCAGAAATAAGAAATAAATAATTGCAATGAATCAAAGTTTCTACACTGTATTCAACGCTGCATTACCTCCCCGCTTATTAAATTAGGTGGCAAAGCTTCTCGTGGGCCGCCCTTATATGTATTTTTTTCATAGTGTTTTCTTCAATAATTCTTGCACCGCCTGCAAAAAGAGTGCACAATGCACGAATAATGAAATTTCTAGAATTTATACCCAATATATACTTCAAAAAGTCAGTCCGAAGATTCCCGAAAAATATTTTCTTCCCCTTTTTTCGGTAAACCACGTCATACCAAGGAATTTGCAGTTCAGGCGTGTAGTATATCATATGACGATTACCTCGATTGCCCTAACATATCTTCCTAAATGACGGAAATCAAAACTTCTTGCACACAGACAAAATCAAGAAAGGCGGTTCCTCACATTTAAATAGAGACCCGCTCTCTATAGAACAAAAATTTTGGTATAAATTTCCATTATTGCCCTTTCTGTTCAAAAAGGTTTCCAAAGGGAGAGGGCGAGAAAGTTTCTTGTTCATAGGGAGACAGTGCTAGCACACAAAATACCGTCCCCAAGTTAAAGCCTCTTATCTGTAAAAAGAACGTTAGCATGCTTATCCCAGCACGATATATATTTTAAGATTGAATGAAAGACCTCAGATGGGGTGTTTCTTGTCCAAATGAATCCATAAGGTTACCGTCATAGGCCTCAAAAAATTATTAGCAAGCTATCTGCGTCTTCTGTGGACCCCAATAAAGGTTTAACCATGATCTTATCTGCAAAAAGCTATAGTCCAATAATTGCGACAAGTATTTTTTTCTACTGTAGCATGAACGTACTGTTTGAGGATCGAGGTTGAGGTGCTTCCTGTAAAGGGACGACCATAGACTCCTTAAGCGTTTGCTCAAATTGTGCAGGGTCTTCCTCCCCAGAGACATCCAAGGAGTCCTCATCCCAGCAATCTTCATCCGTAGAGTCCTCATCTCCAGAGTCTTCATCTGTAGAGCCCTTAGCCAGGGAATCCCTACGTGGGTAGACAGTTTGTTCTGAAACAAAGAAAATTACCATAAAGGCACTGCGTTGACTCGCCTTTATTTTTGATTTGCACACTCCTGTATCATTCCTGCTTGAATTCGCATGCGTTGTAACGGGAAACACAAAGAGAGTTAACTTTTTTTTGTGTTCTAGAGCTGCTGAAACTTCCTATATTATTTGGGAAGACATGAGAAAATCTCGTAAACACACTTTCATTATTAGAGCAGAGAACGCATACGGGACGATTGGTATTGATTGATTGATATGTGGGGTTTAACATCCCAAAACCACCATATGATTATGAGAGACACCGTAGTGGAGGGCTCTGGAAACTTCAACCATCTGGGGTTCTTTAACGTGTGCCCAAATGTGAGCACACTGGCCTACAACAATTCCACCTCCATCGGAAATGCATCCGCCGCAGCCGGGATTCGATCCGGGACCTGCGGGTCAGCAGCCGAGTACCTTAGCCACTAGACGGAGGATTGGTTTTGAGAATGATCATATGAACGCTGAAATCGGCGACCCAAGGGAGATGAATTTCTCAAAAGGAAAGAAAATGTGTCCCCCTGCCTTACTAACCCTAACGTGTCCTCAAAAACACAACTAAGGTTTTGCAATTGTTTCGTGTTATACGCGGCTTCGCATGCATACCTGACACCAAACAGATGCTATATTACGTTTGTTTAAAAAGCACATAGTACAGTGCACGGTGCAAGAATACTTCAGGTGAGCGAACGCCAGGACAATCCACTGCCCGATAATGTTCTTCGCTAGGAGCCTGGGAGATGGCGCTACAAACTTTGCCCCGGTAAGGTCCCTAGATGAAACGCCCCGGCTTTCTTTCCCCCTCCTTTTGGTGTAGGAAAGAACCATGATGTAGGAAAGTAGCGGTGCTGATTTATCGTCGCTATAACACCCTCGCCGCACCGTCAACCTTCTCCCTTATCACTCCCTCTTTCGCGGCGCCGCTCTATGCGTGTCGCGTGGTTGATATCACGCGATTACCAGGTTTTCTCAGATAAGGCTGGTGCACACCGGCGACTAGCAGCAGTCGCATGACCATTTGCGACTTGTCGCATACAGTCGCGAACGGTCGCAAAGCGACTGCTTTGGCCAGTCGCTTTCTGACGGATTTTTCAATCGCGCGACTGCAGTCGCAAAGCTGCTGGAACCAATCAGCGATGCTCAATTTTTGTTTTGTTTTTTTTTCAACGCTGCGCGAGAACGGATGAAAACAATAAATGCGGCGCGCTCGGTTCGCTCAGCTGGCGGCGATCAGCTGATCGTCACGGGTCTCCAGAGTTCTCGCTGATAACGAGATCCGGACGTATATATTTTCGCGCTCTGCGCAATAAACTCAGTGGAAGTTAGCGCTCGTGTCTTTCGTGTCCTTCTTGCCTCTGTGTCGTTTTGTTCTCTGCCGGTGTGAACATCAATCGCTTTTTAGTCGCCAGTCGCGAATGGTCCCGCGACCACTGCAAGTCGCCGGTGTGCACCAGCTTATATGGAAACCATCGCTCACGTGCTGAATGTGCTTCGCAGAATTTGCCAGCAGCCCGCCACGGTCCTCAGTCCGACGAGCCATCTATCGGCACGCCGCAAACGAGAAAATGATCGGTCCCTCCGTGCCAAGCACTCGCTTTGCGCCGTTCGCTCACCTATAAAGTTTTCTTGCACCTTGGTATAGTGCAATGAGCTGTCAGTAGAAATAATGTGTGAAGTGCAAGGCTTGAATTGGAGTGAAGGGTTCGGGGGGAATGGGCCAGGACCGCTGACCACGTAAGCTACAAAACATGGGTTCTACAAAACATGTAAGCTACAAAACATGGAAGCTACAAAACATACTCCAGCCTCAGAAACACTTGACACAGTCGTGCATATATACCGAGATCAAAGCCTCGAATAGTGCTCTTCTGAGGGCGTCCTGGAACAAAACAACCAGTTTTAACTACGGAGGGTGAAATGTCATTTTGCAAGTCACAAGAGCGATATAGCGCCCCGCGATTAATTTGATTGTACTCCTTAGTCCACGCTAGATGAAAATGAAAAACCGTAACATTCCTAGCCTTCAGTATTTATATCTGTCAATTGGGTCTTCAAGTGATGGCCAGATCATTGTTTTCGGGAGGGAGGGATTTCAATTAGGAGAGTGGGCGTGAGGCGAGAACAAGGGATGCTACGGTACGCACACAAAACTCGTTCAAGTGGGCTTATGCCAAGGCTTCTTGGCTCACATTGAGCCCAAAGCGTTGTTCCAATCTTTGGCAGAAAGAATGATATTCATATCAATGCGCACCCTTGCTGAGTCAGCAGTCTTGTGTTATTTCGCGTGATTATATTTGTGACGCGAGACGCGGTGCTCCTAATTCGTAATCATACACGCCACGAATACCGAAAAAGTTTGTGTCTGCAAAGAAGGGGTGCTCTATTATCATCGATACAGAGCTATTCAATAACGGGAATCTCCCAGATGTCTCATCAAACGCGAAAAGAGACAGTCAGAGTCAACACGAGTCACGATATCATGAATCCCAAAAATATACGACGTGATGAACAAGTGATTAGATGTGGGTCAGGTTTAACGTCCCAAAATCACCATAAGATTTTGACAGATGCCGTAGTGAAGGAATGCGGAAGTTTCGACCTCCTGGTGTTCTTTAACGTGCACCCAAATCTGAGCACATGGGCCTACAACACTTTAACGTCTATAGAAAATGCAGCCGCCGTAGCCGATATTTCATCCCGCAACCTGTGTGTTAGCAGCAAAGTACCTAAGCCATTAGACCACCGCGGCGGGGCATGAACATGTCATTAGATGTCATCGTCCTTTGTTCAAAGGTGGGCCACACGCGGAGGTAATGCAGAGCCGTGCGAGCTGCAAGAAGCCTCCGATTCCGTAGCCTGGCGCAACCGAATTGGGTGTAGAAAACCGCCTAAGCAGTCAGTCTGAACATCAACTAACGGTTCACATGGTCCTTGTACTTGTACACTGTTTACATTCGCTGTTCTCCCAATGAACTTTTATTTACTTGTCTTTGTGCGTGCGGATAGAATAATACTCGTCTAGAGCAGCGCAGCGTATGGCTGTCCGCATTTTTGTGGGCCGCAACTGCCACCTGCAATTAGCTACAAACTTCTGTTCACGCTTGAATAAGACCCCAAGGGCGAAGCATGCTGTAGGGCCATCATGCATGGTATTACATATGGCGTCGTCATTTGCATATTTCTGAAGAAAACGGCGACTTCAGTGGCCAGCTGGCCACTCTAGGCAAGCGTGACTTTGTCAGTGCATCTTCGCTGTGCATAACTTTGTCTGTTTTCATCACTACGGATTACCTAATCGATGAGCGCTCACTTTTTATCAGATGAAAAGAGATGGCTTTCGCTTTGGATTAGTCTTATTTGAAAATGCTTCAGGAACAACACGAGTTTGTTCTCCCGCCCACTTATAGACGAGCATCTGCGCAATCTGGAATCCTTCTTTATTGCCTGTCGGCCAGGCTAGCGCAAGTGCACTGGACTTGGTAATACACCGCAGTCCACAGCGAGATGACACTGGCAGCAGGATATATAAGAAAAAATGTCTTTCGTTCCAGTGAATCAGCATCATCTGGCAACATAATGCTGCGCCCAAGAAGCCTGAGCAACTCTGGGCATATTTGAATAATATAGTGCCCAAAGGAAATATCGTTTTATACCGGTGAACAGGGGAAGTAAAGAATAAAGCAAGAACTACTGACCCAGTGTGTACATGTTTGAGCGAAGAAAATACCAGTGATAACTAAAATACTTTACCATGAATTATTTCGCCAGAAAGATGACGATGCTTCGTCTGAGGCTTTTAAGAAAAAGTGGGAACGAAGTTCCCGTCTTGACGAATCTATTCTGGCAATATAAGTAGTGAAAAACAATATTCTTGCATGAGAATGATAGACAACCTTGTAAATCGTGACCGCAATCTCTATATGCAGCCCACGACTAAGATTACGTGGGCAGTCAAGTTTCTGTACTCTCCTTTAAATTATGTATAGATGGACAAATATTCTTCATGTAATCAGTTTTGCAGTTGCAGCACAAATAACGTAGCATAACACACGACGAGCATTTAAGCGATGTCGTGCATGCGATGTAACCTCGTTGCAACAGAGCCTTTACGCAACACTCTCTGGCGTTAATAACAGTATATTGTTCAGCTTAAAACGTTTCGCAATTACTATATGATTACGATAGACGCTTTTAAGTGAGAGGAGATCTTTAACGTGCACTTAAATTTAAGCACAAGCACCTCAAACATTTTCCCTTCCATTGAAAATGCGGTCGCCACGACAGAGATTGGATACCGCTACCCCTCTTCGGCGTTGATCGACGTGAAGTTGAGATAGTCGGTAAAATTTCTCTTGAAAGATCGTAAGGGCAAGAAACATGGGGACAAACACGGAGAAAAAATCGTACAAGACCGCGATAACGCCATCTATCAACTGAATGGGCCCACTGTGGTGAAAAGAAAGACAAGAACGTGTTATCCACTTCAACTTACCAGCGTTATCTTCAATTCTAACCCTCTGAGCCCTTATTCCTTGCGCGCAGAAACTATCGTGTAAACCGGCGTGCTCAGAGTGCAGTGCATATAAATGATTGATGATTAGTGGGGTTTAACGTTCCAAAATCACCATATGATATGAGAGACGCCGTAGTGGAGGGCTCTGGAAATTTCGACCACCTGGGGTTCCTTAACGTGCACCCAAATCTGAGCACACGGGTTTACAACGATTCCGCCTCCATCGGAAATGCAGCCGCCACAGCCGGGATTTGAACCTGTGACCTGCGGGTCAGCAGCCGAGTACCTTCACCACTAGACCACCGCGGCGGGGTGCAGTGCATTATAAAGAACCGCAGTGGGTGAAAAATTACACCCGAATGCTCCGGCTAATAGTACTAATACTATCTGGAGCATTATCTCCCGAAAATCATGATATGATAATGTTGAACGCCTTTACGGAGGGCTCCCGATATTTGGCCCTCTGAAGTTCTCTAACGTGCATTCGAATCACACAGTACACGGGTCTGTACAATGTCACCTCCGTCGAAATGTGACCACTGCGGCTGAGCAGTCGAGCACGATAAGAGCTGCACCCCTGCGGTAAACAAATGGCTTACTATGGAATGCTACGCAATATTCTCGCTATACGTTTGTTATGAGAATCCCTTCATTTATACTATTGTTGCCGAGGTCTCTAATGAAACGTCTCGCGCTGAGATTATCTGTCCTCTCAACTCAATATATAGATATAGACTCACAGTTGAAGCGCAGTATAATGATTATGGACAAGGTGCACGACTTGTGGTCGTGTGCGAGGCGAAGGCAAAATGCCGCCTGCATGGGCATTTGCCTCAACGTTGTCTTCCTCACTGAGTGTTTAAGTTGCAACTGTTTTGCAAGCTTTTATTGCCCAAAAACTGCGAATAATACTGATGCGCTTACGAAGAAAACACGCTTTAATTGCTCGCCCTCATTACCGCGGAAGATGCACGATCTCAAAGCGTTGTGCACGCATTCGCAGTCGATAACTTGTCAAATAATGAGCCTCGGTACCCGTGTAGTTGCATGGCGATTAAGTGCCGCCTCACGCCGAAATGGGCGACAAATCGAAACTCCATAATGTATGTACCTTCGTGTGGGCAACTCAAAGCAATCACTGCGCAAAACCGCCATGGTTATACATATTTCGCACCGTTGACTACGACCGGATCGCGATGTTAGGGTATAATGGGAAGGAAACAAGCCACTCTTGGGACCGAAAAGCATATACACATACTTGTTGCATACGAGGGGGCGTGCGCTTGTCGAAACAACACTTGCTTCACGTGTATACACTTTCTGCAGTACGTCGCTTACTTACCGTTCCGTTGAAGCCTCTCCAGTAGCGCCCTGTCAAAGTAGCTTGTTTGCAGACGCCAAGGCTTTACCGCGAAATTTTGCGGAATCGTTGCTTCCAAACCATAGAGCAGTCCACGCTTCAAACTCGGCACGCCCGACCTCGGAACGCCTATGGCCAGTAGCGTCTTGTTCTGCGAGATGACCAGATAGGCTCGGTATATCTTGGCAGTGCTGCCCTGCACTTTCTTAACCAGCATGCACGCATAAACGGCACCGTTCTTTTCGATGCACTCTACGGTCACGTTGCAGTTAATATATTTCGACAAATACTCCGCACTATCCTTGAAAGCAGATTCGGCGTCAAGAACAGCGCCACCCGGGTTCGGACCCTTGTTGTCTTCGTCCTCCTCGTTGTCGTTCTTGTTCTCATCCTTTCTCTCCTTGTCATCTTTGTTGCCTCTGTTGCCCTGGTTGCTGCGCCTATCCTGGTCATCCCTTGTCGCCTCCTCGATGCGTAAAAAGAGCCACAGACCGGTGTGACGCCGCCCTGTTAGTAGCCAGCAATAGAACCACGCAGCGCGCCGGCGAAACTCTATCCTGCCCTTATTGCCATGGCTTTCATGATGGCGTTGGCAAGGGCGGGGCCCACTGACATTGTGTCCAGCGAAGGAAGCCATTGCTGGTTCTCCCTCTTCAGTGCCACCATTTCGATCTTTGTCAATGTTTTCAGTTTCAAATATAAGACTTCCCATTTGCGCTTGCCCATCACTGCAACGTAGACAAGAGACACACTGTGCCGAGTGTCAGTTCATGTCGCCACCGGTCTGATCAGCGGGGGTAATCAGATTCGTATCCGAAAGAAATAGCAACGCCCCTTTTTGACAGGTGACTGTGGATGCCCCCCCCCTTTCCGAAAAAGCAAAGCAAGTGAACAACACCCCGCTTTTTCGCACAAACTTACATGGCAGTTAAGATGCTCTGAAAGTGATATGTATATTGTGACGCATCAGAAAACAGTCACATCCGAACTCATTTAACAGGAAACCACGGCAAGGGCTTTGAAGTAAGGACCGGCATAAACACGCTCAAGGTACTTCCTAAGTATTATTTTTTAATGCGAAGCATTGCTTAGTGAACTTCAGCGACATTTAGCGTATCTATCTATCTATCTATCTATCTACTATCTATCTATCTATCTATCTATCTATCTATCTATCTACTATCTCTATCTATCTATCTATCTATCTATCTATCCGCCTACGACTTTTAGCTCTCCTGGTCGTTTCGATAACAGTATCGATACCAAACTTGGTATGGCATAACATACCTGTAAGACGACCATATTTGATTAGTCATAACATGAAATCATGACACGTATGTCATGAATGTCATGATTTACATTTCATAATCCTGCTGCTTTTGCGGTGGTTTCGTTCACATGACATATTGCAAAACTGGTATGCTATGACATGGTTGCATGGCGAAAGCAAGCGAAGACCCTAACATGAAAATCATGATTTCTGTGTCATGTAACAACATGACTACATGCCACTTTCATGATACGCTCACGGCCGTTTCGCTAGCGTCACATATACCAAATTTGGTATTACAGTACCTGAATGGATAACGAAAGTATGTGACTGGTTCGAACATGATAATAAGGAGATGCGTGTCATGTAACAACATGACTACATGCCACGCTCTAATGCGCTGGCGGCCGTTTTGCTAGCTTACTTATACCAAATTTGGTATTACGGGACGTGAAGGGATAATTAAGGTATGATACTGGTGCAAACATAATAAATGTGAGGTGTGTGTCATGTAACAACATGACTACATGCCACATCATGATGCACTCGTGGCCATTTCGCTAGCTTCACATGTGCCAAATTTGGTATTACGTGACGTCAATGGATGACAAAGGTATGTGACTGGTGCAAACATGAAAATCATGAGATGCGTGTCACGTGAGAACATGACTACATGCCACAGTCAAGGCACCAATACATTTTGACGAGAGCCGATGCGTGTGCTCGCCGGCGTTCTTTTCGTCTCGTCACGCCGGTGTTTCCACTCCAGGCGCCGGTCCTGCCATATACACGCAGGCGCGCGCCGCGCTGCGTTGCTTTGACGCATGCGCGTTTCAGCGCGTGCGGCGTCCCTCTGTCACGAAAAGAGGCAGGCGTTGTGTTGCCTGGGTAACGCATCGGCGCGAAATGCAGCATGTCGTATTTCGCGCATGTTGCCGCCAGGCCGCGCTGACGGACGTCGGTCGTGCCTGGCGACAGAATATACAGTGCTCGCGTTTCGCCCAGCGTACGCGCGCGTCAGCGCTACATTGGAGTATTGGGCCCTTCATGATGCGCTCGCGGCCGTTTTGCTAGCTCCACATATACCAAGGTTGGTGTTACGTGACGTCAATGGATGATGAAGGTATACGACTGGTGCAAACGTGATTATCCTGGCACGCGTGTTACATAAGAACATGACAACATATCACGCTCATAGCGTGCTCGCGGCCATTTAACTAGCTCCACATGTTCTAAATTTGGTATCCCGTGACGTCAATAGATGACGAAGGTAAACGACACGGAAGTCACGTACGGCCTAATTTACCGCCACCTCGAAACAATGTGCTGATTTTACAGTGACATATCAACCTTTCTCATTCGTGATTCGCATATCATCGATTTCCACTGCACGTGGGATCTGTCCATTTTTTTTAATTCGTTCACGTGAGGCGTGATGGCGCCGCCAATTCAACGATTGAAACGATCGTTTCAAGCTAAGCAAAACTTAGGAATGTAGCGATTGAAAGGCTTACTAACACGTGATATTGTGACTGATGCAAGTTAAATTCCTATTAGCGCCAATAAGGGTCGTAAACTTGCGCTAACCATTTAAGAACAAATGAGTAGTATGGCAGAATGTTTAATCTAGTTGGTAAATATACCCAGCCGTGGCAGTCTAGTGGCTAAGGATACTCGCCCTTGACCGGCAGTCCGTGGGATCGCAGGCTGGCGTGGCTGCAGGTTTCCGATGGAGGCGGAAAAATTTATAAGGCCCGTGTGCTCGGATTTGGTGTGCACAATAAAGAAGCCCACGTGGTCAAAATTACCACTGTGCCCTCCATTTCGGCGTCTCTCATAATCATATGATGCTTCTTGGGACGTTAAACCCCCACACACAATCAAATCATAGTTGGTGAAGATCCGGATAACAGAATCTAGGAATGCAGGAAGAGACGCAGGACGAGATGTGAAACGACATTTGCGTTCTTGTGATCTATTCTCCTTCGCCCCTGCGTTGTTTTACTATAAACTGCATTGCGTGATTCCTCGCTGCGCAGATGCGCTTTTGGTTCATATACAGGGAGGTGCTTGAAATGCTTCGATGTCACACTCGCAAACGTATTCAGATTTTGTGTAACTCTTGATTTCATTAACTTTAACTCACTGCTTCTCTAGCAATCAGTAAAGGGCACTCGTTTCCTCCGAGTTCATAGTGAAGGAGGGGGGGGGGGGGGGTCACGATGCTGCGAACACCTGACTCTGAAAAATAGAGCGGTCTCTTACATTAAAAGAATATAGCTGATCTGTCTCTGTCATAGGATTCGGTAAAACAGGAGAGCGAAAACGTGGTTTGCATATAGGTGGTTTACCGTTAATTGTTCATTGTTTCGCAACAAGTGCAAAAGAATGAACGCTAGCTACAATTTGTATTCTTGCAGCTGGCTCCTCCGACGGAAAGGTCAAACTAAAATAGCGCACACAAGACGAGCGGGAACTAACAACTGTCGCAACTGGACACTTGAAGCGTGCTGCTAAACCACAAAGAAAGACGCACGAAACGAGCACATGCAGTATACACGGGGTTAGTGTGAACTAACAATGATAAATTGGGTTTGACGTCCCAATACGATAATGCAGGCTGGGAGGTAAAAAACACACGCATATTTCCGGAGTGATCAGGAGTGGGGCGAAGCTGGGCCCTATAGGGTCCAATATGTCAACGCTTAAGTTACCTACTTGTATAAAGGGTTTGGGCTTGTACGTGTTGTACATTGCTCTATCCCAATTATTATTATTAGTCTATTATTACACCTTTTATCGTGAGTCGATACGTATAGTAAGGTATAGTAAGGCTGGCGTATACGTAAGGAGGCTCCAGGGAGAGATGTCCTTTTCGCTTAATCTCTCCGCGACGAGAGCGTAGAACGCAGAAGGATGCACCATGGCCTCCGAGATGGCGGGCGTGTGGCGCCGCGCGCCCGCCATCTTGGAGATTATGGGTTGCATAAGCCGACTACCGATGCCTGTCGAGAGAGAGCGCGCAAGTACGACCACGCACGCGTAGAATCAAGTTCACAGTGCTGCTCGAGCGAGGACCACCCCTCCCTCCGCGTGTTATTCGTACTCGTTAAGAAGGTGGGACGTTTCCCCACTGCATTCAACGGCGTGTCTAACAAAGCCCGGGGGGGGGGGGGGGAGGGCAGAGGAGCTGTTATCGCATGCACCCTCCAGTGACTAAAATGAGCCAGCTAGTTCGATCTCTGCTTCAGTCCTGTTCTCCGCGCTGGTAGCGTGTGCTTAAAGGCGGATAGAAGATAACGGTGCGCGGGGTATATTACCGATTGAGACTTTATACAGAACATGACGGCAACGGCGAAAATTTGTCGAGGATGTCTGTATGATTATTATGTAATAACAAACAGTGGTATGCAATATACATTTCTTCAAAGAGCGCCATTAGTTCAGGAGAGCAACCGCACTATGAGCGCTCCCGAGTGATACCCTAGCCAGAGCCTCTGATCATGCAAACGCTACCAAGCTGCACTTAAGGTACACGGGAGGCTTGTGGTTACTAGATCGCGCCATGAACACGCAAAGGCGTCCTGCTGGCGTGTGTCTCCCTCAACCAAGGCGTAACATTCGACCGTGAGTGTCATTGCCTGTTTGCGGCGCTTATGGTCGCAGTTATGTTAGTCGGTGCTATCACACTTAATTGAACACTAAAGTGTGAAATGATGTTTCTGGTATTGAATAAGTACGAGTTAACGATCCCCGAAAACATTACGCTTACCAAGACATGAGGCTTAGTAAGCGAGGAAACTTGCGAAAAAGGAAATGTGGTTGGCGACGCTACTTTGAGATTCCCACCGAAAACACCGTGACGAAAGAAATTTCGGAGCTGTATACTGGGTCCTACATAGCTTTCAATCACAATCAAGTGAAATGACATCCATGTGTACCCTAGACTTAGCATACGAAGTGTCGGAGAATTTAGTCAAGCCAATGCTTCGAAAATACCAAAAATACATTTGAAATTCTTGACGTTACACGTGGAGATTTCCGCGCGAATCAAAAATTAAACTTCAACCTTCATTTTCCGCTAATAATGAACTTATGATAGTTAAACATATATCATCAGAATCTCAGAATGATCTTTGTTAACCTAAACCAAGTCATTGTTCTTCTATAGTGCCCCTTTAAAGAAGCGGGTGGCAGGGAAGTTCCCTTGGAGCATGTGGAAGCTTCACCACTTTGTTAACAAGTCGTCACGCGATAACACGCCGCGAAAGGCAGAGGCAGGAACACCTAAATTAAGGTCAAGGAGGCATCCTCGAATGCCAGCATGGCCAATTTTTTGGTTGGCATCGAAGCGTTTGAATTCCATCGACACTGAATCGCACACTATCAGCGTTTATTAGTACCATGGCCCCATATTTCAATTCCCTGCTCAAAGATGGTGTCAACGCCTCACAACCCAAGACAACCGTGCGTGAGAGAATGCATGAGGCATATTTAAGCTGCGTTTGTGAAACCTCGTACACATGGGCGTTGGTGACGCAGAGGGCAAAGCGCCGAGCACCGATCATCACAGGCCGAATGGTCGAGGTTCTATCTCCAGGAGATTCACGTGAATGGAACGTTTTTTGTAGTTTTTCTTTGTCATTCATACATTTTATCAACGTCAAATCGGTAACGGAAGTACCTCAAGGAAACCCTCTCGGATACTGGTGTAAAATACAGTGTTTTAAAATTTAAAAAAAGTAAAAGAGATGGACAGTAGGTTCCAGAACCATGTCATCGTGTGTGGTGGGAGTTATAGGGGAATTTGCTGAATCCACGCTATTGTGATGTATAGACCGTATCCGCTTCCACTAGCAAGCAAGTTTAGAACAAGCTTACTTGCTATCAACCCCAGATATCTCCTGCCGAAGTGGCCAGCACAGGATCGTCACAGGCATCCCCGCAGATGGCTAGGTACTGGCGGCGAACACATTCTAGGAGCTATTTAGGTTGTGAACGGAATGTAACGTCCCAAATTGACGGAGCCCGTAAAAGACACTACAAGTGCATGAGGGCTACGGACAATTTCGACCAACTTGGTTTTTATAAGACGCTGACATCGTACAGTACGTGGGCTTATAGCATTTCACTTCTGTCGAGATGCGTGCGCCACGGTCGAGATCTAACCCGAGCCTTTCAGGCCAGCAGTCGAGAAACGAAATCGTTAAGCGGCCACGGTGGCTTTGGGCCCTATCAGTCATTCGTTCCTATTGGCATGGATGTCCTGGGAAAAGGAAGCTGCTCGTGTAGGGAACATGGCATTCAATAAAGCTTTTAGCTGGGCGAGTTGACTTGTGTTGCAAAAGTGATAATTCTAAGCGCGAGTTATACGCTACGAGAATAAGAAAAAAAATCACAGCATTTCTATCGAGGGCATGATGATGAGTAGGGCGAAGCATCCATCAGATCATCCGCGCTACCGTCCGTCTTTTTGTTCTCGCTTCCGTCCGTCCGTGCAACCGTCCATACGTCCGCTCGTGCGTCCCCTTGGTGTCCATTAAGCATCCATGCGCCCGTCCGTTCGTGCGTCCAACCTTTCATGGCTAAAGCGAATCCTGTCATTGGCAGTATATTGTTTTATAAGTCCCTTCCGTGCTTCATAACGTCCTGTAGCGTGGAGAAAGCTGAAACATTTGGCCGGGTGTGCTGCTTCGACAGAAGAGCGATGATTGGGGTGGCTGTGCGATGGTGCACGTTTTGCGAGCGGCAGCATTAGCGAAAACTGCTGTGTCCCTCTAGCGTTTTCAAGAAACGCTGCAGTGGAAACATAAAAGGCTCGAAACGGGCATGTCACGCGGTACTTTCTATTTCGCGAGCTTCTAGAGTGAGTAGAAAAAAATAACTCCTCGATTTAAGACCTTATAGGACGGTTCACGAACTGATCTGCAACTTGCTCACTGAAATTCTTCGGCCAGCTTCTGCAAAGTTATTTAGGCATGTCTAATTCAAAAATAAAAACACCAGAAATAGTGTGACGTGCTCCAGGCAATAGCGATAAACATGCGTATGGTCGCATGATCATATAGTGCGTCGGCATATTTTAGAGCACTGGAAACAGATAGCTAGGGCAACCGGTACAATAACAATCACGCAAATAATCGTGAAACCGCTGTTTAAAAATTATGCAAAGCATCATCATGTTTTCTCATCGGTATGTTCGTCTAAATACATCAATAGAGATGTTAAGCTAAATGTGCAAACTGTTGCATATAAAAGTACTGGATACGTAATATTTTTGTCAAATTTTCAGCAAAATAAACACCACTAAACTGTTCCACTTCCTGGTAGAGGGGCATGTGCCATGTTCTCACGTCATAATTATCGGCACCAAACGCTGCACCTTTTCAGCAAGCGCTGTGTAAAAAATTTACATTATAAAGTACAGTGTGGCCAATCCCCTTGTGGGTATGAGCCATGATCTTGTAGGCGACAAGACAAGACTGTCCGTTCTCTCACATCAGCCATGCATCTTTTTTAGCCACGAGCAATCGTAAGTGTTTTCGTATAGTTACGTTAATTGTGTCCGATCTACTTTCATAGTTCTCATACTAATGAGTAGAATAAGTATGTCGAAGGTGACTAAGATCCGTAGAAATGTGTCTAGAAGGAGAGTACAGCCGTGAAGATACTAACGTGTCAGAGTTACTGTGGGCGTACCAACGCAGCTGCCAGCCTTTACGAACCGCTTTTATTGGAAGGGGTGTATATTTGGTCTCGGTATCACTGACCACATAATATAATGGGACTTATGAATTAATTCAGTTGCGTACTTGCTCTTTCAGTGGGACAATCACTCGTATAACTGCAATGTTTCTGCTCATAAAATTTCATTTTATGTAAGTGACTACCGTTTCGACCATATGTGCTTTCAAACATTAAGAAAAGGAAACGTTTACATTACTCTAACAAGAATACGTTCAGAGTTATCGGTGCAACAGACTTCAATTTATAAACAACCTGCTTTACTTAAAACAGGGCTTCATTGTTAGATAAGCCGTATGAACGTACTCGGGTCGACTTCGACGTGCTGGGATTGTCGAAGTACTACGCCAATCAGTAAATAGGAGTGTAAACGTCACCCCCCCTTCGAAACACGGCTGCTGTGGGTGGGAATCAAGGAAACAACGTCCCCAGTTTTTGATTCCACCTAAGCTTATTCGCTTGCTAAAGAACAACATGTCGTTCAAATTAATTTGAAGCCCTACTCTCTTCACGGACCTGAAGGGCAAGTGCAGAACATGTTTGTGGATTGGGCTTGTGATGAAGCGGTAGCTTTTCGCCGAGTATCGTTTATTCATTAATTTTTTTAAATAAATACTGCTGTAATATTCACGCTCAGATCTTTGTCTCACCCCACTCGGCAGCAGCTGTACTATATACTTTGGAGAACTCATAGCCTGTCAAGTATTACATTATGCTTTACGTTCGTTTTCTTGCATTATGACGTTTGAACCGTTCTTATTTGCAGCCCTGGTCACGGATAAGTAACAAGAGGCCGCGGTGGTACCACCATGTTTCGTTTTGCATGTACTTTGATGGTCGTCCACGTCAGCATCGTGCTGAGTCACGGCGCACCAGGTTTGACGTAAGTAGATTGAGACGGGCGCTTTATTATTTTTGAAGGCAAATGCAATCGTACTTTCCTTGTGATATTCCGTGACTGGGAACCATCTTTTGCATGTTCAATTTCAGAGAAGCAGCAAGGAAAGCAAAACGAGTAATTCGCAATTTGATTTGTTCCCGCTTTTTACCGTAAGGCCCTTAGTTAACGCCTGGCTTCTATTCGGCTCCTTTAGTTCAACTCCGAAACCGCAGGCACTCTCTAATTTTGAAACAGGACGCATAAATGCCGCATTGCCTTCATTTCATCTGGTGCCTTTGAATGAGCTGCCTTACCAATTATTTTTACTCCGATAGTCACTTGAAAGATGGTTTAGCTGTAACTAACGTTATCCTGAAGTTTGAGAAAATTTGTTCACACAAATGGTTGAAACCTCAGTGTAGTATAGTCAGCGTGGCGTGATTTTCCTGTGGCAAAACCAGTCAACCTGGTGAAAGTGCGCTACGCAGAAAAAAACATGCGGATCGCATTTCGACTAAAACATGTTCTGCAGCTAAGTATACCATTTGTGAAGATGTGCTGCAGTTCCGGTCTTCCACGCATGTTCATTATTATACATTCTCTCATGTGGCATCAACAAGTCTTCAGAGCTATTGCGAACGTGGCTGTAATGATGAAGTGGTCATTCAAGCTCACATTCTTGTTATCTTAGCGAGTGCCTATAGCATCATATCATAACAAAGCTTAATATATGTGTATTACCTGCGAGCAACTGCACGAGCCATCTCTTGCCGCAGTGCAAGCAATATCATATACTTAGTATTTAGCATCAGACCAGGAGTGTGCGACATGGGCACGTGGTGTGTTTCAATTCTCCCCCCAAAAAAAGAAAATGAAGCCAATTAGCCATGTGCGCCCTAGGCCTTGAACGGATGTAGACTGCTGCGCAGAAACAAAGAAACAAAATAGAAGAAGATAGACATATAAAACAACACCATTTAAATGATTTGTTCTTCATCAAGATGAAATACCAATGAGCTCGACTGGGATCCCTCCTGTAGTGTTTTTACTTTGAAGGAAAAAAATAAAAGAAACTGGTAGATGAATTCGTCACATACTTTCCTATTCACTCCAAGAGTTACAAAGAGAGAGAAAGAAAGAAAGGTGAGGCACGTTACATAAGCACGTGGTGCGTTGGCTACTATACAATTAGGTTGTACACGGAGGCATTCGGATATGCTTCCTCACCTCCTCGCACGTATCGCGTCGTTTAAACTACTTAAACGAGGTAACTAACAAATCAAACAAGACGGAGACAATGAAGTGTTGCTTCAGGGCTTAATGATTGCTTCTTAAGCGTCAGGATTGACTAAGTACGCTCATACATACGCATATACCTTGGTCGCCCAAGTATGACTCGTACTTGAACAACTCCTGGGGAGGTTCTCAGTTTCGCGTAAAAAGTGCACCCTCCATTTCTTTCAGCAACTACGATTGATTCATGAAAGCCATTAGCGTCAGTGTTTTACATGAGGGAGTTCGAAAGAATGTAAAAGTGGGGCATGTCGGCGTCGATTCATAGAAAAGATGGCGGCGCATTGTCGAGGCAGGCAAACAAAAATTATGAGACAGGAGAGAAATCTGCGTGTAATTTTTTACAGCGTTTCGCTGCTTATTGTCTTTTTCTTTTAGCGTATGCCTTGGGTTTTCTTGATGCGGTAGTTGTAGCACTACGTGCCAAAATACATGCACCCACGTGAAAGGCTTCCAGGCCAGCTTACTGGCATACACACGCTGAAGCATCTTTTAATATAGAGCAAAATTTAAGATACTTCTTTAAGTTCAGCTTCATTTTCGTGCTACCAACAATTCTTACGAAAGAATGCCGGACAACCACTCCATATAATTCTAACCTATAGGCGAACCGGGCACTGCGACAAAAGATCGTGCAATGCCACTTGCACGAAGAATTCCGAAACATGGAACGACCGCGATGTCTATGGAAAGTGCGACGAGAGAGGCAGCTGCCGCTGCTACCATCGTGACAGTAAGTACACGAAACAACGGGATGGTTGAGGCCCGCTGCTATACCATCATTACGCGTCATCTAAATGAATTGTTAGTGGTGAGAGTTGGCACTAGATGGGTTAGAGAGATTAAGTGGTGAAGTGTTTGAGTGCCTCACGTAAATAAAGGTACTCTTCTTGAACGTATAGGTCAAGAATAAGGTTAATAGATGGATATATGGTTGACAAAATTGATGAATGTATAGATGGGCAGATGGACGATGGCAGCATAAGAGCTCCGAAAACATCACAGCTGGCTTAAAGAAACTTCGAATGTTTCTCTCAAACGCTTCGTGTTTGACAGTTTGGTGCGCTCGATGTGATTGTTAATAAATCGCGCTTGTTTAAATTAAACCACTCGTCTCATTATGTAGCTTCTGTTGGGTACAATATTACAGCGGTTCTTGAAAATCACCTAGAACACACCAGTTGGCATTCACCGATAAGTCCAAGTTTTTTTCTTAGTCCCTATAAAAGTTATTCTATGGGATTAAAGCATCAGGAAAAACAGTAGAAAAGCAAAGAGACGTTATCGCTATGATGCTTTGTGCTATTTGCTACGAAATTAGCCTTCGCTTTAACAGCAAATGTGCCATGGTTGCGAAAAAACTACGATAATTTACCGTAGATATTCTCACAGTAAATGTATAGAACATTCTCTCAAGTTCATGCAAAAAAAAGTCCCCTAAGTTTTCATATTGTCATTAGAATAAACAGCGTCTTATTGCTGCCTTGCAGCATGCATATATTTTTCGGGGTATTTGTTCGATATGTTATTGTGTGGTCCTCAGGTGCTGAAGAATGAATGTATTTCATTTCTATTGGCCTCCTTATTAATTTAACATAGTTATAACAAGAGGTCGCACCGCGGTTGCTAACTGCGAGGCCTCTTAATTATTTCAGGCGTCTCAAACATGCGGCCCTCTTTCTATCGACCCTACCTGCACATGACTGTCTCTATCCCATATTTCCTTTTCTTAATAATTGTGTTCCTAAGCTACACAGACATGACTTGTCTCAAGCATTTTTTTTTCCGTGAGCAACAACGTATATGACATATAGAAAGGCTGTTTTTTTCTGGGAAAGAAAATTTAGCTGGTATGTTGTTAAACGCACGATAGTGGGTTTCCGGACAAAAGAAGGGCACCTGAGTTTTTCGGGAATGATGAATCCAACTTGAAACCTGAAATTCCACCATTGATCATGCATGGTTATTTTCGCCACTCAGTGTGTCGCCTGGACAAGTGCAAGGGCACGTGTGAAGAAAAGCACGGACATGAAGACGGCCTACAGTACAAATGCGCAGAAGATTCCTGCATCTGCACTTGGAACCAGTGTAAGAGTTATTTCGTATGTTTAGACCGCACAACATCCGGTCCAGGTGGCATATCTACTTCTTGTAAAGATATTCAATCGTGGCCAGTAAAGTCTGAGTGAACTTTTAATTCGAAGCAATTGATAAGCTATCAGTACACAGCATTACTTGTATACTGACTTGTTTAGTCGTGATAGAAAGCGAGCCGCTTACCAGTTACCTGCGGGCGATCGGAGGGTGCATATGGAATATCAGTGCATATTTCGAGCAACCTACAAAAATGCCGACATACTCAATAGATTTAAAGAAGTTTAAAATACCATGGCTGCAAAACGTTTCGTTTGCCCTACCGTGGTGGTCTAGTGGCTAAGGTACTCGGCTGCTGGCTCGCAGGCTGCGTAATCGAATCATGGCTGCGGCGGCTGCATTTCCGATGGAGGCGGAAATGTTGTAGGAAATATTGTGCTCAGATTTGGGTGCACGTTAAAGAACACAGGTGGTCTAAATTTCCGCAGCTCTCCACTACAGCGTCTCTCAAAATTATATGGTGGTTCTGGGACGGTAAACCCTACATATCAAAACGTTTCGTTTGCATGAATGAGTTTTTAATCGCATCTCGATATTTCACTCTCCACACTTAGCAATCACATATCGCCAGTTTATTTCATTATCAACCGCGGGTTAACCTGTACTACGAAATATACTGTGTTACAAAATATGCCTAACGTAATGAGCGAATGATTCTGTTTCTGTCCACGGAAATTATAATGCTGTATGTCACGTATACATTAAATGCGTCCATGAGTGCGACAAAGCGTCTTGGTACCGTTCAGATGCGTCAATCTGCACACAACTTAGGTATTGTGCAACAGTATCGGCAGAAAACAGCGCTTCGCGATAGGTGGAAAGACACTGGAAGTTGTATAGGAATATATCCACTTAAGACAGGTAGCAACTCGTGAGCCCAATTATGAGAGTCAAATAATTAGAAGAATTAGGAATGGGGTGAGTAACCTTCGACAGGCGTTTTCAAATCGTGAACGGTGATCTGCCACTAACCCTCAACAGAAAAATATATAACAGCTGCATCTTGCCGGTACTTACCGATGGAGAAGAAATCTGGAGGCTTATAAAAAGGGTTCAGCTTAAATTGAGGGCAACGCAGAGAGCGATGGAAAGGAAAATGATAGGTGTAACCTCAAGCGTCAAGAAGAGAGCAGAGTGGGTCAGGGAACAAGCCAGGGTTAAAGATACCATGGCTGAAATCAAGAAAAAGAAATTGACATGGGCCGGGCGCGTAGCACGTAGGCAGGGTAACCATTGGTCATTAAGGGTAACTGTCTGGATTCCTAGAGAAAGCATACGGACGAAATTGAAACAGTATAGTCAGGTGAGCCGATGAGATTAAAAAGTTCGCAGGTATAATATGGCAACAAAAAGCACAAGACTTGGTTGATTGGACGATCATGGGAGAGGCTTTTGCTCTACAGCGGGCGTAGTCAGGCTGCTGCTGCTGATGATGATGACAACTAGCCTAGTATTTATCAGTTACTCTAGACAAATTGTCCTCTTGCAACGTTCGTGCTCTGCCTTTCTCACAAAATCACTTCAGCTGTTCCTCACGTGTCTGCGTTTGGTTCCCTTGTCATCGTTTAGTGTAACCACCTTTCTGGCCTGCCAGACCCGTAGCCGGAGAGAGTGACCATGCCCTCTTCCCCAAAATTCGGACAGAGGGAAGCGTTTTACAGGGAATAAATAAAACTGGTGTTCAAGGCCTTCATTAAATTTCTCCTCCCCAAAAAACATTCCTGGCCACGGGCATGTGGCCTGCATAGCATGGTGCTCCCTATGTCCACGTGGCATCGGAGGCCTCGTGTGAGAGCAACCCTCGGGCTGACCTCGCGGCCTCTACACATGCGCAGGAGTAGATTGTTGGCAATAACATTCACGTGGTGGCATTTAGTTGTCGCAGCATTATAATTCTAGGTTTTGAAAAATTGAAAGATCTATTTCTCGGGATTGCGAACTTCGCGATCTAATAAAATCATTAGAGGGTCCCAATCAGTTTGTTTGATCGAGTTTCAATTGCTATAGCACTTTTCATGTGCCTGATGATATTTTCGTTGGCTGATATCTAACGAGCCTCTACTAATAAATGTATTATGTTAATGATAATAAAGTAGCAATTCTGTTCCACATGCAAAAAGATAAGGAGGAACGAAGCTTTGAGATTTTCTTGATAGGTAATTGAAGCTTTTTTTAATGTTTCAATAGGTTCCCTTTCTCTTCACTGATTCGTTCTGTCGTTTACTTCATTTTCAGTGTGCACCCCTACCGGATGTGAAGCAGCATGCTACAGGATCTACATTGGAAGGCCAAACATCGAGTGGTGGTGTGAAGACGTCTCGTGCCACTGCAAGTGGCATGGAGGTGACTTGAATTTCTATCTATCTGATACGACCTCTCAGTTACCACGATAAATTGTGTAACAGTAGTCTTTGTCAAAGAACGCAACTTCTTGTAACCGTAGACGCTTAGTAGCTGAGCTGCGGCACCGCTAAGCTCCAAGATGCAAGATCAGTCCTAATTGTCACAGTGCTGCGTTTTTATGGAAGCGAAATGCATAACAAATAATAATAATATTTATAAAAGACATTTGTGTTTAAAGAGGCAATATAGTAAAACAACCATTCTGTTTATATTGATAAGCTGTACAGCGAGAACTATAATAACAGTTTTTTTGCATCATAGATTATTTAGTAAAGTAGAAATTCGAGGCTGAAGTTTCATTTTTATATTTCTCCCTGAAATCTCCACGCGTGACGTCGCGGGTTTCGAAGTGTATTTATTGTATCTTGAAGAGTTTGGCTTACCTAAATTTGTTGAAACCTGCTAGATGAAGTCTGCAATCCCTGAGAGATGAGCCTATTTCATTTGTAGATTATCAAAATTGTAGGACGTATTAGACAACGCCAAAATCTAAGACGTCAAGTAACTTTGTTAGTTGCGGTAAATTTAAAGTAGCGTCGCCACCAAAATTCACTTTTTGCGCTTTTTCTCGCCTAACAAGCGTCTTCTTGCATCGAGGAGGTGTATTTTGTAATTAAGAAACAATAATGTATTAAAAAGAGAAAAACCGTTTTTCTCCTAGTGTCTCTTTGAATTGAGCTACACTTAATAGAATAGAAGGTGGTAAAAAAATTGCATATGGTCACCCACTACAGCGTGCCTCATAATGAAACCATGTTTTTGCCGCCGAAGTGCTTCTACATCATTTTTAATACACACTACCATAGTACGCAAACAAAATGTGCAGCCGGGAAACACCACAACGTGAACATTACAAAAAAAGAACTGCTTTTACAGACCTTCAACTAAGTTCCTTGCTCAACGCGTGCTATTCGGGCTTCTCTAATACGCATAAAATACTTCGAATAAGAAAATTGTAGTGCTCCAGTTAACACAATGAAAATTATGCCACATAACTGCGTTGGTAGTGAGGCGTCTATCACGAAATTCAGCCTACCTGGTGTGCCTCTTACTTGACACCTTTTCATCTGAAATAATATGCACTTGTGCAAACAACAGACGATAATATTGCAAGGTTGCTTTCCCGATCTTGTGCCTGACACCTTCCAAGCTTTCAGGTAGCACGCTCCAAAATTAGTCTGCGGTCGCTACATTTCGGGTGACTTCCACGAGACAATGAAAACATAACGATATCTCGCGCAATGTTTCTCGAACACAACAATTTCTATGCAGTTATCTACTTTAGAAAAAGATTCGTCATCAACTAAGACTAGGCGTGCAAACATGAAATAAATGGAAGAAAATGAAAACATAAAAGAAAATGGGACCGCACAAACGGTCACTATCAACGTAAAGTGAATCATACAAAACGACTTAATGGCGCGCGCGCCAGTGTGGTAAAGATACCTGTCAGCAAGCTCACTTAAGTCGTGATTAGCAAGGACTATTACTGAGCAGTGTGCTTGACAGGGAAAAAAAAAACACCCCAAATTTTAACTTTGGCAAACTTAGTTATCACGAGCGAAAGGCGCGTGCTCTCTCTCTCTTTTTCACAAGGCGAGGAGGAGCGCTCGTAGAGGTGGAGAGACGAGCCGACAAAGATAAGGACACGTCGAAACGGCAACAACCGTATTTCGATCATCAGGAACGTATGACTGCGCTAGCATTTTCTGTAGACTCATGTACAGCTTCAACGCCTGAACTCAATTTCAAACTGTGGTTGACTTAGGGGCCTTTCAAGCGTCCGCCTGGTGACGTAGTGCCGCAGCGGTGAGACCCCGAATGAGTGCAGCTGCTTCTCAGCAGCTGCACTCATTATTAATTTCTGCACTCGTACTTATTGTCCTGCATTATGCTACTTTGCCATCATGAGGTGCAAGTTTACTAATGAAAGAACCTTTGTGGCCTCTTCACCAGCATCAGTAGTTGCACGACTAGGCATTTTAACTACCTTTTCCTTTCGTTTGTAATTGCCGATGTCCGTAGTTGCACCACTTGGCAATTTCGCAACTTTTTCACCCATTTCCACGACCAGTCCCCGTTGTCTTGCTGCAACATTGACCTTATGCAGAGCTGAAGGAAGGCACGAAACGGTCTCCAGAGTTTGCAGTTAAACAACAACCAAAGCAGTCTTTATAAGACGAGAGTGTTTATTAACTCCTGTTTAGTGACTCCCAAAGCCCCTTGGTGTCTTTTTGAGTTAACTTACCGCTACGAAGATGCTTCCAATAACGAGCAAGTCTCCAACAAGCTTTGAGGTAATGACATTACACTAATGACGATGTATTCACACTAAATGCAGCGAATCGCATGGTGTCACGTTACGCCTACTACGCCTATTCTGCGTTTGCTGGAGGCCATTGCGACGTGTTTAATGCCGTTGTAAGACACGGTGAAGCAAAGACTTGGCTCCGAAGGAGAAGCATGGTGCAGTATTCTGTGGAGCACAAGGAAGTACCGCTGCTCAGCATAAGGAAGGGAGTAAAGCATTAGATCAGCAAAACAGAGAGTAGATACATAGAATATATTGTCCACTTAGCGAAGCGGGCGTCCACTAGGGACGGCCGCCAATGAGCAAATCGTGGCACTTTCTTTAAGGAGTGTGGACGTAAACGACTTGGCCGTTCAATGTTTGTTTCAGTGCAGCGAAATGCTAAAGAAGGCCAGCAGACTACAGTCACCACCAGCACCGAGAACTATGGCGTGAAACGCGAGCAGACAATCCGCCCAGTGGAGAGAGACTCGTTCTACTTCGAGAAAGAGCTTCAGTACCCGGCTGCCAGAAAGGCCGAGAAGTGACTGGCACATCACCGGGCTATCCTTGTTGTACCCACATTGGTGAAAAAAGAAAAGAAAATGTACTAAAAGTAGTAATGAAAAATTTGTTTTTGTTTGCTTTTTATATAGGGTAATAAAACGAAATCAGCCTCCGTACTGCAAAGTGCTGTAATGACGTCCGGTGTCCGACTTCTTACAGAAAAATACTCATAAAGGAAAAAAAAATTCGGCTAAAAGAGCAACATGGCATTGATAAATTCGCAATTCGATCTGAGACGACGTACTTCTGGCCATATTCTCGGTTTCATCTCACTTCCGCTAGCTGCTTTCGGTCTCTGACTTCACATTCAGCTTCCGCTAAAAGGAAGGTAAAGTGCAAAATAGTACTAAAAATTAAGAAATAAAGAATAAACACGATGCGGCCCCTTCAACAACAAACAACTTAACTTTTTATTTACAAATTTAAATAAATTGGCAATTCGATCCGAGACGTCGTACTTCTGGCCATATTCTCAGTTTCATCTCACTTCCGCTAGCTGCTTTCGGTCTCTGACTTCACATTCATCTTCCGCTAAAAGGAAGGTAAAGTGTAAAATAATACTAGAAATTAAGAAATAAAGAATAAACACGATGCGGCCCCTTCAACAACAAACAACTTAACTTTTTATTTACAAATACTGCCGTGTCACTGAGAGACATTGCAGGGGTGGGTACAGAATTTGCTTGGAAATCAGGCATAACATGAAACAAATTAGCATACAAAATTAACGCTAAATTACGTGGATTAAGAACCATATAAAAGTTATGCAAGTGCGCGGGTAGTAAATCAACATTGCATCAGACAATACTTGTTTAATGGCACAAATATACAAAAAATATAGAAATACAAAAAGCACACCACTCATTTAGGACTCCAGAGGCACGGGCTGATAAATTCTTACTGCGAATTGAGCGCGAGGTAACTGGCAAAGTGCGCCGTCTAGACCATTCCATTGTTCGACAGTGGATGCGAGAAAGGAGTATTTAAAGCTATTTAAACGTGAGCAAAAAGAGATAAGATTAAGGGGGTGACAACTTCGGGTAGCTCGAGTAGGACGCTTCACAAATGAAACTGGGGCCGTGATTACTGATGATTCATGTACAATTTTGTGTAAAGTGATAAGCCGTTCGCAATTGCGTCGCTGTGATGGTGTTTCAAGTGATAAATTATGTGCGTGTGAAGAAGGAGAGAAGAGGCGATTGTATCTGCTGTATATGAACCTTATGGCTTTTCTTTGCAAAGATTCCAACTTGGCTACGTCACAAGAGAAGTATGGGGACCAGACAACCGATGCGTACTCCAAGATTGGCCTGATTAGGGTTTTGTATGCAGTTAATTTGAAGTATTTAGTGGCATCCTACAGTGCACAATCGAAGTAGAATAATTTACGAAGGGCTTTCGAGTGGATGCGATCTATATGTTTCTGCCATTTTAAGTTATGTGTGAAGGTCACCCCAAGGTATTTAAACTCATCAACGTGTGCAATATTAGTTCCACTGTAAACGTAATAAAAGCGTAACGGCTGAAACTTATTGGAAAAAGTCATAGAGACTGTCTTTGTTAGGTTCGTGGATAGTTGCCAGGAATCACTCCAAGTACAGAACATACAAAATACCTGATTTATTAGGAACTGGTCTCCATCTAAGCATCCTCGAACCACAAACCTTCTGTGACCTTCCTGCTAGTGGCAAGTTATCTTTCGTCTACTTTTCTTTCTTCACATTTATATTACGATTACTTCCAATAACAACCCCTGTACTTTCTTTCACATTATTGTCTCTTAGTTGCCAATAATAGCATAGCAATAGTATTTAGAAGCTGTATTTTCCTCTTGATATCAAATACAATGCTGTAAGGAATTTTACATAAACAATCCAAATTTTGAATCACAGTCACACTAAATTAAGTTTGCGTGCTTCAATAATATTATAAGTTCTATGTGCAAAAAAAAAGGAGGAGGATCACGTTAGGCTCAGGTCTGGCGGTCCTACGCCACCAATTGCCCATATGGTGCGTGTCTTTCCAAGCGACAATAGCTTCGTTCTGGCTAGCACCAGGCCAGAAAAGCGCTTGTGCCTATTTAGGCAGTAAGTGTCTGGCGGCAGCTATTCTCGGCCTCCCATAGTAGCGGTATAGATGCTCAACTATTTCACCAAGGCTGTCGTAGTTAAAGTACCCCCAGGGGTTTTTGCGAAATCTTATGGGGCTACCTTTCGTGATGGGTACCCAGAAAGACCCGAGTGCCAGGTCAGTGTACTCCTCCACCCATTGAGGAAAACCGGCGGGTTCCCGGTCGGCACTGGGAGTCCAACCCGCTACCTCCCACATTACAAGCGGACGCTCTAACCTTGTAGCCACCTATACGGTTAATGAGGAATTTCGAAGCTCTGAACCCCTGTTTTTTTTTTTTTTTTTTTTTTTTTGACGCGCACTGGCCTCGCTGAGTAGACGGGTTTCTAGCATGTTGGCTCCATTAAAATGCCACCGCCACCGCTAGGATAAAACCCGCGATATTCGGGTAAACAGACAAGCACCGTAGTACTGCACTGTGGCGGAGGTGGCTCCCTTTAACTGTGAAGCTAGTCCGACACGTCTGCTGGCAAGCGGGTGCTCTCACCACAGCCGTGTTTGCGTCATTGCGTGTTATCTCGTTAAAATTAAGTAATAATGACTTCAATTGCACCGTCAGCATAATCACGGCGGTGTGCGTCCTCTGTGCCGTTGTCACAATAAGTAAAAGACGACAAAGAAGTGGATGGCGCGAACATGTTGGGAGTGCCCCAGCTTCGAAAATGAAGTTTTTTTATCGTAGAGGCTTGGCTACGGACTCCCGAATTCTCAAATTATTGTAAAGATTACATCTAGGTTTAAAACACTAAAAAAATACGCTACAGCAATTTGTCGCAGGCGCATAGTGTTTTATCGCTACCAAGTGTCTTCATATTTAGCTGGAAGCTACCTAGGCAGGTCGGACAAGGGCAACAGGGAGCTGCTTCGGCACAAGACATGATCCTGAGTGTTCGAGTTTCTGTATATGAATGTTGCACAGTGGAGAACAGAGAGAGGGTACCTATTTTAACAGGCGAACACGTTCAACGGACAAATGTCATTTGTTGTAAATGTCATTCACTATGCCGTGGGCAGCAACCAAAATTGCATTAACGACAAATGTCATTCGCAGCTAATAAGATTACAGATGCCGCGTGACATGGGTATAAAAGCCGTTTCGGCCCGGTTGTGCACTACTTTCAGTGAGCCCAATCCTGCAGTCTCACATTGGAGAACGCCGTATTTTCCGGTCAACGGCTTCCTTCTCGGCAGTGCAAACCTTTTTTAGGTCTGGTCCTGTCCATACGCGTGCTGCCTCCCACCGCTGCCATGCTAGCCAAGCGTCGGCTTTATGCAGACCGAAGGAATGCATGCCCAGTTGCCCTTGGTGTCACGTCTGGCGCAACGCAGTGGTTTCGCGCAGTGTTTAGGCAGTCAGACTGGTATTGTAACAGTGTATGAGCTACAACGAAGCAGGCGCGCAGCTTTGCAACCGGTTTCTAGTCTATGCTCGGTCATCACTGCCAAGCCAGCGAAGGGCCGGATTTATGAATGCCCTGTTGCCCTTGGCATCACGTATGGCGTGGTTGTGTGGTTTCGCCCAGTCTTTAGGCAGGAGGACTGGTAGTGAAACAGTGTAGGATCTACAAGAAAGAAGGCGCACAGCTTTGTAACCGGTTGCTAGTCAATGCTCGGCCGTCACTAGCAAGCCAGCCAAGGCCGGCTTTATGCATGCCCAGTTGCCCTTGGCATCACGTCTGGCATGACGGTGTGTTTTCGCGCAGTGTTTAGGCAGGAAGACTGGTAGTGAAACAGTGTATGAGCTACAATGAAGAAGGCGCACAGCTTTGTAACCAGCTGCTAGTCAATACTTGGTGACGTCATCACCGCGCGTAATTTTCGTTCATTGAACAGATTACCGCTTCAGCTATGTCCTAAAATTTGTTTTTTTTTTTTGTTTTGTTGCACATGCAACTTTGCCTTTCCCCAGTTCTTGTATGCCCACCCCTTATGTAATGTCCCTTATGATAGGAACTCTTGAGGATATTAAAATAAATAAATAAATAGATTACGGCTGGCTTAAACATCTCCTCTTCTAAAAATGTATTTTGATAATGCATGAGCATCGTGTTCTTTAATGCCCACTTGAGTCCCCACTTCTTTCAACATATTTATTCTTCATGTCATTGTAACCATGATCACGTGAATGAATGAAATTACCATCTCATAATCTCCATGCCGAGCATTATATGGTTTCACCCCTTGAGTACTCATGAGATTGGTGACACGCCTAAACCTACAAGACACTTTACTCGAAGATGCTGATGCCCACATCATATAGCATCAAAATTTTGCCTGTGCTGCTCCATTTTTCGGTGCTCCTCTTAGTGGGTGGGCGCCACTGCGTGAGGTTATCATCATCAGCAGCAAGCGCAGTGCTCCGTCAGTGTACCTGACCACGTAGAAGCTGGCGTGTGCCTTTCAGCTGCCCCGATTTGGTAACGCAAGCTTGAGTTACCCGCAGTCGTAAGTTTTCGTTTACTGACCGAGCGCGATGGGCTTTCATGGTTTGACAAGTATCAGCAAACTTGTAACTGGTTTCTAGGATGCGTAATTATGTTGGCAGTAGAAACGCAGCTATCGGGTGTGCCGAGTTAGGGTTAGGGTGAACGTGCCAGTGCAGCAATCGGACTGTAACTCATCACAATGAAAAAATTTGCGCAGTACAATTCCTCGGAGTCCTTTTACTTCGAGAACCAAACCTGCAGCTTAACATTGTGTAGTATTTATTTTCTTTCGTGATTATGTGTGGTAATTCAGGGGAAGAGTACTCTTATCCCACCACTACTGTTGCCAACAGGATCAGTTAACTATAGTTGCACGAGCGGTATACAGTAAGAATAAATTCGATCGTGTTTGTGCATTCAGGTCACATATGGTGTCCTTATCGAACTAAAACCGTGAGCGCACCAGT